TGAGATCAGTCAAGGTCAGCTAAATATTGCCACCTGGTAGGACCACTATTACATATTTCATTTTTTTTTGTTCTTTCTTCTAAATCAGGGGTGTCAAACTGCTGGCCAGTGGGCCAGATGCATCATAGTGAAACTGTGCCCACCTCATTGCTGGCAATGGCAAAAAAGTCACAATACGTTGTAACACCTCACGTGACATTGCGAGTTTGACATCGCTGTTCTAAATTATTCCTTTTCAAAAAAACTTTACAGAACAGAGGACATATTCCATAAATATCTTACTATAAGATCCACATCTATGTCCATTCTTATGAAAGGAAGCCAACTTGATATGGACCATTTTACAGTGAGTTACTTCCCCCTTCCAATAAATCCTTCCAAACGTAAACATTTCACCAGTCCAACAAGCAATAATTCAGCTTCTGGCATGCTGTCTTGCTGGATTAGTCCCACCATAGCATTCAGGAGTAATTCAAATGACGGCCATAGCAGCAAGAGGAACAGCGTTATTTATTTATTTATTTATTTATTTATTTATTTATTTATTTATTTATTTATTTATTTATGAAGAATATATTAAATGACTCTCACAAAAGGTTGTTGGTGATTAAGTATTTGTTCGATAGGCTTTTGACAGCTGTGTGAGGCCCCCAAACAGATGTTTCTGCTCTAATCCTTAAGGAAATGTTTGACATATTCCAATTTTAAATACAAAACCTCATTACAGAGAGCAAGATTTGGCAAAGCTCTTTCTTTGGCTCCAAAGAACATTTAGAGCTTCAGAAATGGCCAAGGGTTAAGTGAGACCCTACCTGTCTTCTGTTTTGGCAGAATAAGATGTGTGCAGTTTTATTTCTCAAATACAATCAGTTGCTTCTTTCCATTCCAAGACCACTTTTCCCAATGATTCGGCATCTTCCAGTATGTCGGAGATGTTTATTTAGTGACAGAGCGAGTATAAGAAACCCCCCCCCCAATACCCCTAGAAAATACACTCTAATTCTCATCTCAATACACAGCTGCCAAAAGAGATGGGTAAATTGCCAGGCACACATGCATTTCCCTCTAACAGCTGCCTCAGCTTATATGGCTGATACTTGGATGTATATGGAAAGGAGGGAGAGAAATGATTTGGGCACAAATCCATCTTTCATGGTACAGGCAAAACTGAAATCTCTTGTTACAACCTTGCCCTGCTTGCATACATCCTGTTCTGTGCTAGAACATGCAAGAGGGAGAGGGAGGGGGGAGAGAGAGGGGGGGGGAGAGAGGAGACCGCCTGCCATAAAGCAGTGCAAATGACATTTTGAAAAAGCAAGAAATTTATTCTGTTGCAGTGTATGACTTCACCGGCGTATTTCCCAGGTTGCAGTTTCATACAAGCTACCCACACATGCTTAAGCGGGTGTTTTCCTCCCCTTATTCCCCCCTCCCTGATCTTTCCTGTGTATCTCAATTTTTTTCTTGAATATTTTTCCCCACCAGCATCAAGCTGATTTTACACCCCCCCCCCAACTACACATATTGGTTGCCTCCATTTTAAATTGGTTCAAAGCAAATTCCTCAGGAACTGCTTTAACCCTTCCAACTCATTTGAACATCATCTTTCATCAAAGCAATGCCTTTCCTCCCTCCCCGACTTCAGAGGAAGGAAACTGGTCCAACTCATGTGCAGTTTAACCCTCATGATTTCACTGAAAAGGGTCATCGTTAAGTGAATATATCTCTTCACACTCCATTTAATTTCTCCCCCCCCCCACAACACCAATCCCATCATATTGCAAAGATCCAGTTTATTCCAGTTGCTAGTTTCATATACTGTATATAAGCATATTCATACATGTACAAAGGTACATGCACACTGCATAAACACAGACACACACACACATTTCTATCTTCAAAAGGAGATTTTAAATCCTTTTAAAATCCTTTCCTTTCTCAAACTTTATTTTATCCTGTCTGATTAGCTTATATAAGCCAATCCACTCTTTGGACTGATGCCATCCCCAAGGCATCTTATGCACTTTGATGGCTTCACATCAACTTAAGTAAAATACTCGTTCATTTTGGTATCCTGCTGTGAACCCTGTTTGCAAAATGCTTTGGATCGGTCTATGCACATGTGTGCATGTTTAGAGGTGCACATACATGCAGATCGAGCAGATTCAGAGGCAGCTAAAGGCTCTCCCAGCTGCCTTTTTTTTCTGCAAAGGTTTCCTCTCTTAGCAAAGGTCTCTCCAGGACACCTTCTGCATCTTTTCCCATAGTTCCTCTCTTGAAAAAGAAACCAGAGTTATTCTAGAGCTCCCCCTCTGCCAGGCATGGGCATCGACCTTCTTTTCAATATTCTACCTTCAGGAAGCCTGGGTGGAAGAGAAGGGAGGAGGGAGTCTAATGTCATCTTCACAATATATCTAATCAATTTATACAGGACAGTTGTCTCATAGGTACAACTTGACCATCACCTGATATATATGGGGGAAATGATGCATAAATCTTGTGTATTTGACCCAACCCTAAGCCATTATTTTTGCCAGTCCTGTATGTATAGCAGATGAAAAGACATTCTTCTGTCATTAAACAAAACTACTTTGGGGAAACAAGTTCATCAGTGGCTCTACTTTGTTATCCATGTGTTGTGGAAGTCATTGCTTTTCACTTGGTCCTATATTAGGTTAGAAAATTAATCTAGCCACCTCAGGTTTTATGGATCCTTTTGAGGAAGACTGCCCCTACCACCACCCCACTTATTGCTCTTCATTTTTATTTTTAGAAGTGCAAATACATGTCTACATCCTCTCTTTCTATCCCTGTCTTCCAGTATCGAGGTCTAGAATTGTCTTCTACAATGAAAAATCCTGTGCATCCTTATCTACTGTGTTCAATGGGACTTCTTCTCAAGGAAGGAAGGAAGGAAGGAAGGAAGGAAGGAAGGAAGGAAGGAAGGAAGGAAGGAAGGAAGGAAGGAAGGAAGGAAGGAAGGAAGGAAGGAAGGAAGGAAGGAAGGAAGGAAGGAAGGAAGGAAGGAAGTTTGCATTCTCATCTCTATAGTGCCTTCTTGGTAGAGCAAGAAAAAGAGAACTTGCTTTTCTCCAACATACTCTAGGATTGATTGTCAACAGCTCAATCTAATGTGGTAACTTCTCCTATATAATGTCTTCCATGCATGTTGGGATTACAACTCCTGGGCATCTTGGCAGTTCCACTCCTAACATGTCTGAAGGACACCAATCTGGAGAACATCACTAGGTCTCGGTCTTATCTCAGTTTACATCAGTATTGGGACATGTGTGCCTACAATATAAAAAGATAAGATCTGGTCCCAAATGCACATTTCTGTTAAAGGTGATCCAGAATTAAAAATTATTGTCCTGGAAGATGTAGTCCTAGGAGAACTCCCTTGATCATATAAGGGAAAAAATGTAGGATGTTCTTATTTTTCAATTATAAAGGATTTAAGATTATATTCTCCTAATGCATTTTATTCTGTTATCTTGTCATCCCAGAGTCTGGAGAACATTCAGATTTTCTACCTCATATTCATGTTTAGCAGAACAATTTTAGAATGTAGTAAAGAGTAAGCAAAACATCTGGAGATACCAGGCTGGAGAAAGCTACTCTAATTAGAAGGGGAGTCCAGGACATCTGGAAGGTACAAGATGAACCAAATCTATTTTAGAGGATAACCAGACCATCTTTTCTGATTAAAATGTAAGCCTCGGCCAATATCTCAGTGTTGTGATTTCTTTTTGACTATGCTTTGAGCATCTCAATTATTCCAGATTGAAATTTCTTTTCTCCATAATAATTTAAGGGCATTCTGACCACAGGATTGCTTTGAGGGGGTGACTTCAAGTTTTCCACAGGGATGAAAAATATTTTAGGACCTAAAAACACTGTACAAGAGCATAATACTGTTTTTTTTGTGAAATGTCCCAACTGCATGGTTCATTCTGAGAGATGATCTTATTAGTTTCCTAGGCGAGTAGACAAGATCAGGATGGGCAAACCTCTCCAGGAAAGCTCCCTTTTTTTCTGCAGCATCCTGTTCAGCTGGCTTGTGCATATGTATGTGTTTGTGTTTCCTTTACCAAAACAGGGATAATACAACTGCATTCTTGGAAGTGACTACAAGTTGTTCCTCTCTATTTGAGACTTCCCTAACCCAGACTATTGGATTACATCTCCATCCCCACTCTCTTTCACAGAGACACACGTGTGTGCCCACACACAGAGAGAGAGAGGGGGGGGGGGAGAGAGAGGTACATACAGAGATATCATCCAGTAAGTCCAAGTTCTCTGAGAATTATGAGGATGAAGTCCAATAAATCCAAAGAGCTCCAGATTGCACTAAACTGTGCTATTTCTTCAGTGTGTGAACAGAAAGCATACACATGCAATGCTGCTCCCCCAACATACCAGATTTTAAGAGCAATCCTGTCTTGGCCTCAGTGGCTGGCTCTCTGCTTCACGCAACTGAGCATTCCCTTACGTCACTTGGCATAAGCTTTTGAATAAGAATATGAGATTGCCTAGCTCTGCCTGAGATTTGGGAGACTGGAAGCCTTCTTCTCCCCCTCCCTGGCCATTCCTGCATATGCACTTAGTCTTTCTGGAGAGAGTGCCACTCTCCAAGGAATCCTCCTCCCTCACAGGACATCTGGAACGATTCGCCTTGCCTCCGATCTCCCCCTCCCTCCGCAAAATCTCTGTAGGGGAAATGAGCGCAGACTCCCCCCCCCCGCAATCTAGAAAAAGGGGGCATCTCCCCGCCCGGTAGCCACACTTACAATTCGTCATTGCAAATTGGGGACGGGGGCCTTGCACCTTTCTAGCAGCCATGCATTGCTTGAGTGTACTCAGCCAGCCTTGGAGGTCACCCTTCCGCCGCCTGGGGCGCGACAGGGCCGTAGACCTCCGTACCCCTTTCATCGCTTGCAGGCAGCCCCCCCGCCGCCTGATTTCTCGCTCTCCCTGCCATCCTGCCCCTCCCGCCTTACCTCCAGACCTGTCCCATCTGCAGCAGGTGGATAACAGTCTGCCAGATCCAGACGGAAAGCCTGCAGAGGCGCTGTGCGCCGGGAGGGGCGGCGTGATGTCCCGGGCCAGCCCGACGGCCCCCTCCGACCGAGCCCATCATGGGAGGGCCGCGGCTGGTGAGGCCCTGCACGGCCCCCAGGCCTCCGCCGGTGTAGTCTTGCACGAACCATCGGAAGCTGAGGATCTGCACCAAGACCGAAGGCAGGAGGACGAAGGCCAGCGTCAGGCCACACCACAGGTAGTCCCGCCGGCCGTAGTGGTCCAGGGCCAGCCAGAGGTCGGTGCCCACATCGCCCAACAGCACCAGCAGCGCCAGCACGATCCACAGACAGTCCAGCCACGGCCGCTCCACCGCCAGCGCCACCACCGCCGCCGAGGGCGAGGGCGGCTGCCCGTCGGCCGGCTCCAGCGGGTCGGTGCCGCCTCCCGGGCCCCCCGAGGCCGACCCCCCGGCCCGGCCCAGCAGGCTTCGTAGGCAGGCGCTCCGGCAGCCCCAATAGCACGATGACGTGTTGCAGCAATGGCAGATGTGCATGGAGCTGCTGCCCCCGGCCTCGTCCCCCGCGCCGCCGCAGCCGCCCGGGCCGGCCGCGGCTGCGGCGGCGTGGTGCGGATGATGGTGCGGGAGGTCGTCCAGGTTGTGCAGCTGCGAGAAGCCGCTGCCGTCCGACTTGGCCGCCATCACCTCCGCCGCCTGCCGCCGCCGCCGCCGCCGCCGCCACCGCCACCACCAGGCTCCCCCCTTGCTGCCCGGCCCGGCAGCCCGCTTCCCGCCGCCCTCCCGTCCGTCCTCCCTTCCTTCTTGCCTGCCCTCCTCCCGCCCGCCCTCCTCCCGCCCTCCACCCGGGCCCCTCCGGCCGCAGGGCTCGGGATGCCCTCCCCACCACCCACCGCCGCCTCCTCCTCCTCCTCCTCCTCCTTTCCCCTCCGCTTCCGGGAGAGGAGGGAGGCGCTAAAGACCAACCGGGGCCCCCATTCCCTCCTCCTCCTTCCAGACCCGCAAGCAGCAGCAGCCGCCGCCGCCGCCGCACAGGAAGGATGGGGCTGGGGGACCCCTAGTGCCAGCGCCGGGGAAGAGCCAGCGCTCCACTGAGGGGGAAGGAGAAGGAGACCACCCCGCACGTCCGCCCACGCCACCGCGGCTGGCATTGAGGGAGGAGGGGGGACACCCTCGCCTGCCTGGCTGGCTGGCTTGGACCAGATCGGCCCGGTCTCCCCCTGCCAAGGTCCAGCATCCCCGGCTCATCCCCCCCCCACCCCCACCTCTTCCCGAACGCCCTCTCCAGCTTACACAGGCGCTGGTTCAGCTCGGAATCTACCGAACTGGAGGCTTCCTGCAAGCATAGCCTCTACTGCCTGGCTTCCACTTCCCTTCCACCTGCACATAGCCCCGCGTCCGCTTTTTAGCCTCCATCCGCCATCCTTGGTCTCAGCATAGAGCCCCCTCCCTGAGATGTCCCCATTGCTTCCCTTGGAGGTGATGCGCCTGGGCGACTTTCACGCCTGTGAGCTATGTCACACCTCCGCCTGCCCGCCCTTGTCTTGCCCAGCTTGCATACTACGACGTTAGTGGGCAAAAACTGCACTGACTCCTCATCATAGTAGCCTCTCAGGGCTGAGCTCTTCTGCAGCAAGAGTAGCAAACCACTGGATTATTATTATTCCTCTCCTCCTCCTCCCCCCTCCTACTCCTCCCTCCTCCCTCCTCGCTCTTCACATAAACACACACACACACACACACACACACACCTATGCCAGCTGCAAACTATTGTCCCAGTTTAAAGCTGGTTGGGTGGGATACAAATTGCAAGTCTTTAGGGTAAGGTTGCATTGGCTCTTTTGAAACATTCCTACAATTCTGCATTTGCATTCTTAGATCACCTCATAGAATGCTACCAGATTTCTATCCCTTTCTACTCCAAAAGCCCATCCACTTTTCCTCTACGACAGACAAATGTGTTTATTACTTCCCTGGAACTGGCCAGTCTAGGGCTCTTTTAAGTTCTTACCACCCATACGAGGTCTCATTATTTCTGCTCATTAATCAAGCCTAATAACCTCCCCCTATAATGAATGTAACATCTTGGATCATTTGAAGTTGGGCAGAGTGGTGAATGGGGACAGTTGTGACACTTGAGCTGGAATGATAGTATTTCTAAAGTGTTTATTAAAATGAGGTGCTTTGTGTGGTGCAAACACAGAATGCCAGCCCTGCCTGAGGCACACCATCTGAGTAAGGCAAAGTGCTCAAGGAGGTTGGGGGAGTGAAGAAAAAGAAAAAGGAAGATGTGTCAGATCAATTAGAAGATGCTAGTCTGAAGAGGGCAAGTTTTTATCAGGAGTTTCAACATAGCAGTAAAAGGAGTTTTTTAAAAAAAGAAGTAAAAGGAGCCAGAAAGGTACCAGGAGAGAAACTGACTAGGTTGAAAGTCAGGACACACTGAGTTGAAAAATGGAGGATGCAACCCAGGGTTTAAAAGGGATCAAGGTTCTAATGGAAATCCAAGAGGTCCATCTCTAAAAAGAAAAATGGAAAGATAAGTGAAAAGAAGAGAAAGATTCACGTTTGCATAAACTACCCTGTGTTTCTCAAAGGCACCTTCTTTCTCACCCTCATTCACCAATGAATTTCTGCTTTCTCTCTTAAAGAAATATCCCCCACCTCATCCACGGGCATAGTTTGCTTCTCTGGCTGCTTTGCTTTCTTGCATTCTTTATCTTGCCCTAATACCGCCCATCAACAATTGTGGTAAAGATACTCACAGTCAGTGTTGTGTAAACTATGCCTCTTTCTTTGTCCCAGCCACACCTTGGCCTTCTGGAAGGATCTCCCACAAAGAAGCACCATAGAGTCCATAAATCAACAATGACTCTGATGAAAAGCATCTTGCAACTCCCGCCTGCAACAGAATCACTTGTTGCTGCATTTTCTGCCTTAGTTTCAGCCTTGTACCACTTGCCTGCCTCAGTCCGCAATTCTTTTGATCTCTGTCCATGGTGCTGAGATCTAGCCTGCCATTTCCGGGATCCTGACCTGAATTGCTGCTGCTTTTTGCATGCTAGAACACCCATTTCTGGCATGTCGTGCGCTCCTCTTTGAGTCATCTAAACTAGATGTGACTGGCTGATTAACTAGAAACCAATTCCAAGAATCTGCAACATTTGTAAGAACATATGCATATATATTATGTGTGAAGTTAATTTGTTTTCCCCTCCTATTTTAGAAAAAGCTGCTCAAAAGCAAGTAGTGAGGAAATGTGCAATAGGGATAGGCATCTTAACTATTCCCCACTAAATTAGTTCTCATTCAAAAATTGCCTGTCCAAGCAGTTTCCCCTAGCAAGTAGCATTTCAAATCTGTACACAGATTTGAAAAACCAGTTATAGCAGAAAATGTTTGGGTGGCTCTATAGAGAAGGTGGAGAGTTGCCTGTTACCAACAGTACCAGCAGCTGGCCAGACTGCTACATGAGATTGCCAATCTGTTTACCTGAGTTTGTTCGATATGGCAATTCTTCCAAGAGAAAAAGTTTCTATGGGGCAAGTAGTTTTAAATGGGAAGTTGCTCACTGACCTGGAATTTAGATAGGGTAGAAGACAATACCCCCCCTTTTAGAATAAACTTTTACATTATTGGCCCTAGTTTCACATTTTTTTCTCAGATAACCACACAATAATAATAACCACTTGAACCATCTGCATTGACAGAATTCCCACCAGTCAATTGCAAAAGGCAGATTTACTTGAAATAACTTACATCCTGTGACAATACTTTTTAACACCATCAAATAACAATATCTGCCTGTCCTGAGTCCTTGGTAGGTTATAAAAATACCAAATCCAGTCAAAACATCTGGCTGAAGGGAGGAGGAGGAAGAAGGAGGAGGAGGAGGAAGAAGAAGGTGAAGGTGAAGGTGAAGGTGAAG